AACACAAAACAAAATAAAACGAGATCCCTTCCCACAACAACGAAACTAAAGAGAACACCAACGATGTCGACACTCCTAAGCGACCGCCAACACGGCCAGAGAATGGATCCAAGCCACAAACCCAGAAACTGCAGAAACATCGCCTAACCAGATTCAAGACAAAAGGACCCAATTCCTCACCCGGGTAGACCACCCAACAACCTGCAAACCGGAGAATCACAACAAACTCCACTTCCCAACTCCTGGCGACCCGGAATCTGGCACACGACCAGACCCAAACCATCTCCGCCAAAAATTACCCAAACAGAACAAATGGAAGAGAAACGGAAGAAAGGAAGAAAGTGGAACGGCACAAATCTCATCCCCGACCACCACCGAAGGGATGATTGGAGCCACAACCAACTCTCTCCACCTCGTCGGAAGCCCACCACCGCCTATACGCCGTAGAGTCGCCGGAAAAAAAAACCCACCTTGGTGCTGGGAAAAAAGCGAAATCCAAGGCCGACCTCCGCCGCCTCACCCGAACAGACAGGCCGCCGCCACAATCGATGAGACATAGAAAGCCGACCGTACGGCTCAGAGAAGACCGACATCGTGGTGGCCTGAAGGCCCTGCTGTGGGAAGATGAAAAATCACGGCGATGAAAAATCACGGCGAAAAATCACGGCGATGTACTTTCTTATCCGAGAGAGGGGAAATGGGTTTTTTTTTGGAATCGTTCTTTAAAATCCTACTATACTCAATATCCCTTTATATGTACTTTCAGAATGTGATGAGCCCAAATGGTAGGATCTCATACTTGGGATCCTATTTGATAATTTTTCATGCTTTGTCATTTATCGTGGATAAATTTTAATGTACTCTCAATTAAAAAATAATTAGGTTTGGAATAGCAATAAATATAATAGATATTAATGGTCATTTTTTTAGCATTAAGATTACATTTCTTATTCTAGACGTGGTTTTTAAGACATAATTTTTTTCACTCAATCATTTTTTTTTTTT